GGGGGGGGGGGGATCGAGGCTGGAGAGCCAAGGAGATGCCGAAAAGCACCGAGGTGGAGATCTGGGATTCATATCCTGTTCTGACGGAAAATATAAATATTTAGTACAAATTTGAATTCGCTGCATCGCTTTGTCAGAAAACTTGCCTGGTGTGAAGCTGAGGAGCAGTGAACACCGTTGAAGCCAGCTTCGCTGTGAATACCGTTGAAGCCAACTTCACTGTGAATACCGTTGAAGCCAGCTTCACTGAATCTTAATGGGCAAGAGGTTTGCCCGCTTGTTGGCTAGGGCGCACGCGCGTACCAGCAGTTGTTGTGCGTTTTCCTTTCGATCGTTTGCTTGTCAACAACACCCCGAACCCCGAACCAATTTTTTTTTTTAATCCCGCTCCCCCCCCCTCAAGCTTTTAAGGAAATATCCCTTTTATGGTGCCCCCCCTCTGCGCCGGCGGGGTTCACGCCCCAAAACTGCCCTGCAACAGGTTCGCGTGTGACCAGTATCTGCTAGCTGCTGTATCCACTTCTCGCTCGTGGTATTCCTCTGCCTCCACGTTGGTCTTCACTTGAAGGTGAGCGTCGATTTGCATGTAACATCTCCGACTAAATGACCTCGTTCGCCGGCGGGGCGAACCCGTCGAGATCCAACGAGTTCCCTTTGAGGAAACATTACGGCAGTAGACTAATGTGTTGTCGTTCACCGAACAAGTATAGGCTGCTGCTGCAGCAAAAATTTGGCATTGATCTAAAAGAAGAAACTGTCTTCCTGTAGGCATCTGCTGTTGTGGCTTCGATTGCTGAATTGTCTGTGAGGCTTTCTGTGCATCCATAATAATGCAAGCCAAAAACATTGTTCGGTGGGAGGGAGGAAGGGGCAGGGGCCAGGTTTTGGAGAGCAGGTCGTCCGCTCGTTTGCTGTGATGACATTGTTGCTGCAGTGGGCTCCCGATATCCGCACCATCACACATCGATGCGCTGAGTCAGCAGACGTATCGAATATCCTCCAGCAGGACTACTTATCCAACACGTACTCGTACGTACGCTTATGTACGCAAGGCGCAAGGATTCTGCGGTCGGCGTGATGGAGTTCACATACGAAGAACGTGTCAGAGAATATTCCGCGCTTCCCGCAAGAACATTTGGGCCAATGAACATGATGTCTTTCTCACCTATTTGCTGGTAGCGGGCTACCTAACGCAAGGCATGGTAGCTGATAGCTGAAACTCGCCTTTCTCTGTATCTATTTATAGGTCTATGGCTTTGATCCTCTATGCTTTACCCGTTCCTTCGTTTTCTCGCAGAAGGAGAATGAGCAGCAACCGAGTCGTTTCCGTCGGATTACAGGTTTTGACGTCATTTCCGTAAGATGACTGACGTGGTTGAAGGGCTCTGTTGAGGGCTCTGTTTTTGCCGATTTCGACCGGATGTATCGCTGTATGCTGCTTGGGAAATCGTAGATAAAAGGTAGATGGCGTCCGCTGACTCTAGATTCAGTGCCAAGCTATCCTTGACTCTTGTCCATGGGTAGAGATCGATGCGTTATGTCATACTCCAGAGTACATGCTAACCTTCTCTACCAAAAAAAAAAAATACAGCAGTAGATAACATAGCAACGAATTCATAGCGTCAGAGGAAGCGACCTGTATTTCCACGGTTTCCCGAGCAGGAAACAGCGATATCTCCCCTGTTGGTAACAGGCTCAACAAGACAGTTCGGCTGTTCCGACCAGTGGGCTGCTGGCCGGTACAGCAGTAGTTCGCGAAACTTGCACCTGCTTACACCGCGGTAAAAAAGCTCTCGGCACGGCAGAATGGGTCTGCATGTAGTCTATCCGCCCCCCGTAGGCAATTTGCTCTTCGTGTAGTACTTCTGTACGCATGTATGCATGTGTACAGCTACAGTATATGCCCCCGCAGCACGCGCCGATCGACAGCATTTCCCCGAGGTCGTGGCCACCGCCGTGTTACTGATTCACATCTCTGCGGCCCGCTGGAGGTTTCACACCACTGCTCATGATTCTTCACCTGTAAGGCGTCAGCGTATTTGCATAATAGGCGTGCGTATATTGTATTCCGATCTCTGGTAGAGCTAGTTTTATCATGTGATATGCAGTGCTGCTCTCTGACCAGAGAAGGATAAAGTTGTTGTTCTCGTACCAAGTGGTTCCCGATGTACACGTGTCAGAGGTGTGCCTGCCTGCCTGCCTGCCTGCCTGCCTGCCTACCAGCATGGTCCATGCACAGCAGTATGCCGGCGGCGAAGGCGCAATCCGTCTTGTCCGACGTGTCAGGGAATTGCCACGCTGGTTGGTAAATTTTCTACACATCCTGCTTGCTTCTGCTGGATAGGACATGAATCCTTAAGAAATGAAACAACACCGGAGCATGCTGCATATGAAAGCGACATTGATTGTTTCCCCTTGATGCTCTGCTTCTGCTGCTGCGTAATTTAGGTGCGCACGATTCGGCGGCAGCGATGAGTACCCACGGGGCCTCAGCAGAGGCCAAGCCTGCGACTTGCCTGCAGAAGATGTCCCATGCCATCGAGTCAAGGATGCACGCCTTCTTCTCGAGGCTGGGAGAACTGGTAGCCATTCACCCTGGAAAGACGGTGTTGCTCGCTTTAGTAGGTACGGCAAGAGGGCGGCAGTTTTGTGGAGGTGAAGGGGGGCAGATTCGGGGGCAGCATGGAACACTCCGTGGAAAAATAGTCATCACAGAAAGTGGACAACGGTGGCTTAAGGCCAGAAAGAAACTCACGAAGCTTTCGTTGTGATGCTTGTCTACGGTATTTGTTGAGGAGCTGGGTTTGATGTAGGAACATGCAGGTCGTATTCGTGTGAGTACTGCGCGGCGGTAGCTCATGCATAGCGCAACTTTCAGAATTGCGTGCACGCCAGAGCGATGTACCGGCGGCTTCGGGGGTAGTGGGTGCAACTGTTTTGTGAGGGGGGCATCCAGCCGTGGTGGCATGTCAACAGCGCACGTGTGTCATGCGCGGGTTTCATCTTTTGCAACCTCCCCGATTCTTACTTTTGCCGTTTGCTACTTGCCGTTTCCCTTGCCGCTGAAAATGGAGAGGGAAAACTTGTCGTCGACTCCCTAGTCTGTTCTTGTCGGTGTTCTCTGTTCAACTTTCCCTGTCTTTTTTGTGGTCCCCATGCATGCTTCGCTACATCGTGGAGAAAACTGGTTCCCTCAATCCCTACCATCTCTCCAACGCTGTTCTCGTCTCGTGGGTGCTTTGCTCTATTTTCCTGATGTGTGTAGGCGTTCTGATCGGCGCGTCCGGCTTCACGACCCTGGAGCAGGAGTCGAGGGGAGACAAGCTGTGGGTGCCCTCGGGCACTCGCGCCTCGGAAGACTACGTAAGTGCCGCCGCGTTTTTCCAGACATGCATGTAGTGTAGTGTCCGGATTTGGAGGGCGTGTGTTAGTTTTGTCGGGGATGGGTCCTCACTGCTCAGCAGAGAAGACATGCGTGTGTGCTCTTGACAACCGCATGTGATGTGTCCAGCAACTGCCGTTGGTGGGCGCTGTTCGCATCCAATGGATCGGAAGGGAGAACGTTCTAGGTTCATCTACTGGAAGCAGCTGAAATTGTGAACTAAAAGCGTGAACGGTTTCGTGCAAACAGTCTCCGATCCTGTGGTTACCCTTGGCCGAATTTTATCCTTCGTGTATTGGTTTTGGTATTTGCGTGCTGCTCCTTGTTTGTGCACCGTTGCGACGTACACCCGTATGGCAGCTCCCAAAAGCAAAGACGACCGTGAGATGACTCGTTGACCTCCTTTTGGAAAAAAAAAAAAGTCGGACCATGCTTCGATATATATATTTTAAGCGCTGCTGCTGTGATGTATCGCCTTCCCAACCAACAACAACACCGACTTGAGCTTGAAGTGTTGGAACCCTTGCTGGCCTAACGGCGTGCTGTTGAACTGGGTCACCCATCACCAGCATCGCCTTCAGCGTTAGACCTTGAATCATGCCTCGCTTCGCGTCTCTCTTGCCTCGTTGCACCTGCCGTTGTTGGGTGTGCGTATTGTATTGCGTATGACAGGCGACTTATCTGTCGTTCTTTCCGCCGGCGGGCCGATCAAACCTCGTCATCGCTGTTCCTTCGGACGGAGGCGATGCCTTGACCAAGGAAAACCTTGTCAGGGCCCTTGACCTGTTCGAGGAGATCAGCGCCGTAACCATCACCTACGAGGTCAGTGGCTTTTGTGAGGAAAAGGGTGAGAAGTTGAGAGCCATCAAGAGACACCGGTAGCATTGAGAATTGCGGGGGCTGTTCCGGCGCCAAATAAGACGTTATTGCTTCGTTGTTCGTCTCGTAACGCAAACGTGGGCCCGCGACAAGAACAAAACCGTAAACGGACGCGGCACGCATGGTTGGGTTGTGAACGATTGATTGTGAACGGGTGCCTGACTCGCTTAGCTGGGGAGTGGTGATATTTTATGATGGAATGGCCGCCTTTTTTTCACGGACAGGGCGAGGAGTACTCGTTTGCAGACCTCTGCGTGGAGTCTTTCGACTACTCGGGCACGACGTGCATGGTGGAGAGCGTCCTCGGCAAGTGGGAGTACGATTCTTCCCTCCTGGACGCAGAGGCGGACGCCACCGTCCTTACCACGGTGAGATGAACGGCGCCTTGGGTGGAGCGTCGTTGAGAGCAACCGCAAAAACGACCGACGACAGTCTGGTAGTCTTTGCAGTTCCGGTTCCTCACCGTCACACCATTTGCGGTACTTCGAATGCCGTTGTCGAGTGCGGTGTGGTGGTTGTCGTCAGCACGCCCGGGCCCTTCTCGAGAGCGTTCGGGGTCCATGATGTCGTGGACGTGATTGGGCGTTAGCGGTGCTCCAGATATCGTCATGACGATATCATCATGACGATGTCACTTACATCTAACGACGACGTTTGTGTTTTTGTAGATATTACGATGATATCACAAGACTTCGTTGGTCTTCGACACGGCATGGAAAAATAACATATATCCTAAAAACGCATCTATCGAGGGGCTACCATTGAAGACATTGGTATGATCAAACCACCTGCGGCACACCACACCACACTCGGACTGCGTGTGTTGTGCAACCTACACAAGATGGCGGGATTCGAACGTTCACCCCTACAGCAGTATCCCTAACCCTAACGACCTCGCCATGCAAACATGCAATGTACAGATCAACACTGGGTCGACCATAAGCGAGCTGGAAAACTACCTGGGGGGAATGACGCTCTCGGAAGACGGGACAGAGGTGTGGTGGATGGTGGATGTCCTTGTCGTTCTGTTGACGTTCGTTTGTTTGGCAGTATATGGCGAAACGCACATGCACATTGCAAGCGTGGCAAAATGGACCGCACGCCAAACATGCTCAAGGTATGTGTGAGAGTCGAAGGCCTGGACACAAAGATGGAACGTATGTGATGTAGTGTAAGCAATCAGTTCGCTTGTCGATTGCGCGGACCCCGGTCATCAAGGCTTGCCTAGAAATCTGGCATATGCCATTCAACAGCATTTCTGCCTCGGTACTTTCAGAGCAAACAATTATGATACTCTCGGCAGTCGCCACCGACTCAACACTGATGATAAGCGCACACGTTACAATCTTCTACACCGCTACGCGGGGGCCGAGGTACCGTTACAGCGCAGCGCTTGTTCGCTGTTTGAAACCACCGAAAGTCCCGTTTGTAATCCTCACGGTACTTCTTATATTATATTCAACAGGTCCTTTCGGCCGAAGCCCTCCGGATAGTTGTGACCCTGAAAAACACGGAGACCGTGGAAGACGGTGCCTACGTTGATCCCATTCCGGACGAGTGGGAGCTGGAGTTCATCGACGTTGCCCAGGTACAGTAGTGCTACCGTAACGTGGGAACGTAGGCGGCTTGGTTTCGACGGCATTTCCAGCAACTGAGACACGAACAGCTGGTTCATGGAGAGAGGTAATTTGGCAGGGTTATTACGGCGTGTTTCGAATTTGTTGCCTTCTTTTTACGAAAATGGAACGATTTCGGTTGAGGACTCAAATCAAGGTTGCATTTACGTGTCCTTCAAAAGCAGCTTCTCAAACGTAGTTGTTGATTATGATATTGATGCATTCGTTGCGGTTCGCAGAGTGTTAGACTCGGTGTTATGGTATGGTCGGTATGGGAGTGCACCCCTGATGTACTACAATAGTGTATAATCCGTAGGGTGTACACGCACGTGCGCCTCACACTCGAAATGGCCCGTTGACGGAGCCCCCGTCGCGAATTCTTTATAGCCTTGGCGTTGCTGTCCTATCTCACGGCCATCCTGGTTTGGCTACCTTTGTTTTGAGGTGTGGTCCACGACGATGAAACTGCTGTCTGTGCCTGGCCTGCCTGTATTGACTGCCTCCTTTGCCACCACAATGCACGCCCAAATGATGACAAACGACGACGGCGCATTCTTCAAACCAACCAGGAGTGCATCGATGGCTTGGAGTGCTACGTGGAGGCAACGCGGTCGTTGAGTGACGAGTTCGGTGGCGCTATCTCCGGAGACATCTCCCTTATCTCTGGGTCTTACATGATCATCATGGCGTACACCGTTTTCAACCTTTCGTCCACTCCTTTCCTCAAGTCGAGGATCCTTTTGTCTCTCGGAGCCATCTTGGTGAGAATGTGTGTGCGGGCTTGTTTCTGTTGTGATGCGATGAGATGAGATGTGGACCATCGATTCGTGGCCGAGACGCTAATGATGCACGACATGCTCGAGTTGAAGCAGCTGCTGCAGCTGCTGTTGCTGCTGTTGCTGCCTACCCCACCTATTAATATTATCAGCTTGGTCTCAGGGGCGGCCCGTGTGTCCGCCTCTTGGCTCTTGTCTGTCAAGGGCCCCTCGCCGGATGCGTTATTGTTCGTGTGGTTGATCAAGATGTGCTTCCATATGTATGAACAGCTTGTGTTGTAGTACGTACTTGTCATCTATTATCACCGATCGATCGATCCACCCTGTCCTGCCCTGTCTCAACCTCCTTGTTGTGGGCCGATGTGTTGGTATCTCTTGTGATCGATCTGATGAATTCTCTTGGTGTGTTTCGATGGTGCTTCTATGCTGCTGCTGTGGCGGATCTTCCTTGGCCTACCGTCGTTGCCGGGTCAGACGGTGGGACTGTCAATCGCGTTCTCCATTGGGCTGGCAGCTTACTTGGGCTTCTTTTACACCCCCCTACACACGGTGAGAATTCCGACAGCAATGACGCACGCCATTCAGGTCAAACGGAAAGTAAAAGACAACTTAACTCGTCACGTAATCTCTGTCACCAAGTTGCCGCGATCTCTCCTGATGTTACTGCTGTCGGTCTTGGCCCCCCTTACAGCAGTAAAACTTGACTTCCCCAGCTTCCCCCTCACGCTGCTGGGCTTCCGCCTCCGTGTGTGTACGTGATTGGTGTTTGATGGTGTGTTCTATTTTAGTTGCTTTGGACTGATGTCGAGAAGACGCCGATGGCCGCGTCGGTTCGATCGTATCGTATGCTGCCCTCTCGTTTTGATTAGGTCTGACGCGGCTGACCACATGGGCGTGTGGTGTTTGATGTCAACCCGCTCCGTCCGTTTGTCTCAGGTGCTACCCTTCATCCTGCTCGGGCTTGGAGTGGACGACAGCTTCGTCATTTGCAACGCATTCGGCAGGACTGATCCGAGAAAATCCATCCCGGAGCGGATGCGCGAGGGCCTCGGCACTTCAGGTTGGAACGACTTCATACCTAATTAGTTGTCGTTGCTGTCTAGTCTTCTTGACACAGCTGTAGAATTTTTGTTGTTCATGGTGTACCAGTGTGTGTCGGTATTGATTTTTATGTGTTCCTCGTTGCGGTGTCCCTTTCGTCCATGTATTGAACGCGCACGTTTTGACGAAACTCGTTGCTGCCCACTCTTTGGTGGTACTTGCCGCAATCAGCCAGCATACAGTATCGTTTGTTGTCGGACGCGGACAGCCATGCTCGCCACAAGCCTGTTGGCGGGTTGTTATAGTTATAGTTATAGTTATAGTTATAGTTATAGTTATAGTTATAGTTGTAGTTATAGCCTTGACACAACCGCTGTCATCTCAAACACACCCGTGCTTTTACAAAATGAGTGCTTCACGACACACGCGGCAAGTGGTGCTCCATTCTAGAAGGTTTGCTCTAATTAAACATCAATTCAGTCCTTCGAAACGCCTACAACGGACATTGCTTGCCTGCTATGTTTCTTTTTATTATTGACCCCACCTGTAAATGCACAGAATGGATACATACCGTAGCTCGTTTTTGTTTCTGTGTAGTTTTGTGACGTTGACGATGTTGCTGTTGGCTTGGCAGGCGTGTCCATCACGGTGACTAGCATCACCGACTTCGTGGCCTTCATGATCAGCTCCACCACGGCGCTGCCGGCGCTGTCGTCGTTCTGTGTATACTCCGCGCTGGGTATCCTAGCGCTCTACATTTTGCAGGTAAAGATGTACACTTTCGCATGAGTCGGTCGGGTGCCATGGCTATGGTTGTCTCGCCTGTGATACTGTGCGGTTTTGACTGGGACTTTTTCATTACACGCATTTGTTGCGGTAAGGTTGGCAATTTCGCTGCTGCTGCTGCTGCTGCTGCTGCTGCTGTGGCGGCGGGGGCGGGGGCGGGGGCGGGGGCTCCTACTGCTACACCGAAGTGGGACAGTTTTGGAGTATGTCTTGTGCTTGTACAGCGGTATTTCAGCGGTAGTTCCGTCTCAGGCTTGCGTGATGCCGATACACTGGAGGGCTCGTGCAAGGTGAGTAACTTTCGCGAGCGCATGTTGCTGCTTGGTGCGGCCGTAACCCAGTAATCTATTGCTGGACACGACTTCTGAATTGGGCGTGTATACCAGCGTGTATCCATGGACCGACCTTTGGCGCATGCGCAACTCGTCGGCGCCAAACCCACTCTGCCGTGTCTTCTTGTCCCGTCCGCCCACACACATGACTGTTCGCGCACGGCGCGATGCTTCGGCTGCTGTACGACGTCCTTTTTCCGGGTCGGCGTTGCCGTGCGCAATAGTCGACGATATTTGTTGCCTTGGTGGTGTACGACACGAGGAGGCAAGAGGCGGGCAGGCTGGATTGCTGCTGCTTCTTGAAGACCAAAGACATGCAAAAGCGGCCCTCGGCGGTGGCCGCGGCTGCCGCAGAACCGAACGCTGAATGGGTGAGAGAGAGAAAAAAGAGATCTGCTGTGGTGTTGGTCTCCCCCCACGCCTATCGAGGCGCGAGAATCCGCACTTCCGTGGTGCCTCACGTGCACATATTGTGTACAATGTGTGTGTCGATGGCTGCCCCGGAGCGGGACTGATGGTCTTGCCTCACTCTGACGATGATAATAACGACGTATGCATACGTGTGCTGATGGCGTACAGTTTGTCCTGTCCTGTCTGTTGCAGCTGTCAAGGCCTCACGGGTTGTCGTTGTGGGTGCCCTGGCTTTCGTTCTGCCGGCCAAACGATTGTGTATCAACGGCCGGCATTCCATCTCTCGAAGGGTTATGCTTGGCCCAAGTGGTGTGTGTGCAGCGGCAGCCCATCCTAGCTTTCGTGTTGTAAACCCGTCCACCGTGCATCAGCTGCGAATGACGTGCCGGTGTTGGCGCCATGACCAGTGGGCGATGAAAGATGTAGCTCTCGCCCTTGGTCGTGTTGCGCGCTGTTTTCTTGCTCCCCCGTCTTGCCTGCGATAGGCACGTCTCCGCTACTGTTGGGGATGGTGTACACACAACGCGCTGCCGTCGCTCTTTGAACCCGGTCGTTGTGCAATACTCGTAGTGTATTCCATGGCATCAAAAGAAAGTCTGTTCTATCGAGAATATAGAACCCGTCCGAACGGGTGTGTTGGAAGTGCTGGCAGTACAATAGGGAGGGTTGATTCAACTCTCCATCTTGCCCGGCTGCCGGGCCTTTGTCTTCGTGTATCGTCCTTGTCGTTGCTGGCTTTCTCCATTCTTTTGTGTGGTGTTTTCGTTCCCGTCCGTTTGTGCTGCTTTGGTTCAGGACCCTACCTGGGGCGAAAGGGGACGGCTGGAGAAGTTTGTTGGCGACAAGTACGCCCCCGTTCTCACGAAGAAACCTGTCAAGGCCGTAATCATCGCCGTCTTTGGCATCATATTCGTGAGTTATTTGCTGCCGTACGTTTCTGGTGATCACGACAGTGCTTTGTCGTTCTCGTGTTTGCGCGTTATTGTTCGTACTCTTTGTCTGGTACACCATGGTTTTAGCGATCGACATGTCAGCGCGTTGTATTTTACCATCTTTGTTGCCGCTGGCAACTCGTCGTGGTCGCTGGTTCACGTTTCGTTTATTTGTGAGTTTTGGCGCGGCTGGTGTTGGATACGGTGATGATGATGATGATGATGATGAACCGACGCTCCAGTCTCGTGCCGACGTTGCGGCTTGCTTTGGTGCGGTTTATTTTCACTTTACTGCAAGGTACTCGGTGACCAACCCGCTCTCTAGACCGCAAGGAACAGTTCACAGGCCGTTAGATGTGTATCTTGCGGCATTTTTATACGCTGTACGTCCCAATTGCTGCTGTCGCATGCAGGCGTTTTGCTGCTATGGGGCTAGCCAGCTTGGCGTGGATGATACCGACGAGGCTTTCATCCCTGACGGGTCTTACCTCCTCGATACCATCAACGCGCGAGAGACGTACGTTGATGCATGCATGGTTGTTGTTTGTTGCGTGCTGTTTATTGTGTGTTGTTGTTGTTGTTGTTGTTGTTGTTGTTGCTGTTGTTGTTGTTTTTCCTCAATGTTCTTACCAAAGTCACGACTTCCAAAGGTTGAAAGGAGATCCCCAGTTTTGCACGTGGTGCGATTTGTCAGAACGCGTTGTTGACTGCTTGCTGCTGATTGTTCCCCGTCTCTCGACTAATGTCCATCGATTCCTCGCCCTCGCCAACCGTCTGTGACGATTGTTTTAGACCCTCTGTGTTCGACGTATGACCACCCCCCAACTCCTTTTCTCCCATTTGGACGCATTCAGCGAGTGACGGTAGCACAAAACACCCGAAACTGCAAGAATATAAGAATATGGCTGGTGCATCTTGTCTACATAACTCTACGATACGCTACCCACTTCATCCCGGATTACCGCTGGCGCGTTATCTGGACCTCCTGAACGCATCGTATCGTGTGGTGTCGTGTCGTGTGGGTGCGAACAACAACCGCAGGTACTTCGGAAGCGTCGGCGCGGACGTAGAGGTTGTGACCGAAGGCATCGACTACTTTTCCCTGCAGGCGGAACTAGCAGATGTGTCCGCCAAGCTAACCGGCTTTGGAGACGACACATCGCCGTACATTCAGGTGACGAACCTCAACCGTCATGTCATTTGCAGATGCATAGGTTCAGCTGGCACGTGATGGGTAGCGCCGTAGAAGGCGGAGCGACCGCGACATGAGAGTGGGCTCGGCGGAGACTTGTTGGGGTGATTTGCTGGACCGGTTCCACCGTATGCACGGAGATGCGTGTCATGGCATCTGAGTGTAATCATGTGGCGGTACGCCCTTGAGTAGTGTAGAAACCGAAATCAAAACATCGGACCAGTCAGCGCCGACTAGTCTAGCGGTTTGAGCTCGGCTTCTATAGTAGCGAGTTGAGCTCTTAGCCTACGCTCGTGTTGGTGATGATGGATGATCATCAATAGTCATCATCACTCACGCACCTGTGCAGCACACAGGATGATGTTAATGTGTCGTGACCATAGGACTGCTGTGTTTCAATTGCGATGTCGATGTCGATGTCAGGACCCTGCCACGAGCGGGACGTTCTTCAGCTGGTTCGACGACCTCATCGTTTACGCCGAAGCGGAAGGCACAGCCACTCTTGTCCCTAGGTAAGCACTTAACTCAGCCCCGAACAACTCTTGTAGCATTCACACGAAACAGCAGTGGCGTGTTGTGCTCAGCCGGAGAAATTGTCCTACTCCTAGATAATAGTTCGATTTAGCACGAAATCCAATCCAAAGTAGCTCGATTACTAACCGTACCTTTGGCACCCCTCCCCCCCCCCCCCCCC